TTTGAACTGGTTCATTTGAACTGGTTTATTTGAACTGGTTTATTTTAAATGGTTCATTTGAAATGGTTCATTTAAGTTGGTTCATTTGAACTAGTTCACTTGACAGGCTTATTTAAACGAGTTCATTTGAATTGGTTCATTTGAACTGGTTTATCTGGACTGGTTCATCTGAATTGGTTCATTTGAACTGGTTCATTTAAATTGGTTCATTTGAACTAGTTCACTTGACTGGCTTATTTAAACGAGTTCATTTGAACTAGTTCACTTGAATTAGTTCATTTGAACTGGTTCATTTGAATTAGTTAATTTGAACAAGTTCACTAGTTCACTAGTTCACAGTCATCTACAGTCGACTACAGCCGACTACAGTAAACTGCGTGAGCGAGCAACCAAAAGCACACGATTTGGCCGCCCAAGTAGAAAATGTGGTTTTTGACTACTTTATTGATATTGCTGTTGTTGCAGTTGTTGTTGCTGTTGTTGTTGTGGCTGTTGCTGGTTTTATTAACACATAAATATGGAAATTCGTTTCATTAGCGATATCCGTTTCCGATTTATCTCAATGGCTTTTGATGTTGTTGTTGTTGTTGTAATTAAGAATGGCTACCGTTTGTAGAGTCAAGCATGTTGCATAAACAGCGCTGTGTGTGGTCGGACTGATTGAATGTTCAAGCTTTGGCCAATGAAAGCGGCTATTAAGTCTGGCCAGCCAACCAAGACACAGTTGGCAACTTGGGTGGCAACATGCCATTCACCAATCCCACTCACACACTCACACACACAGAGAGAGACAGCAACCGTTGAGCGCTTGGCTGTGGTGGCGGCGCCGCAAAAAAAGAAAGCGCGTGCAACAGCAACAGCAAGCAGAACAACAACAAATGCCAGCAGAAGAAGGAGCCGACAAACAGAGCCAGGGGGAGCAAAAAAGAAAAAAAAACTCAACCGACCGGAACTGCAACTGGCGCTATATGCAATTATATGCTGTCTCTCTCACTCTCTCGCCCTCGCTTGGTCTCAGTGTGCAGCAGCAGCAGCAACAATAACAAACAGTAGCAAGATTTGCCTTCGCCATAGATTGACAGCAGCAGCAGCCACAGCACTCGGAGATAGCTGCAAACAGACAGCGGTTATTGGTAGCGGGGACCACCAAGATGCCAACTTGCCAAGTTGCCCAGATCCCAAGCTGCTAACTGTCGGGATGAACTGCCCTGTCGGAGGCAGCGTACTGGCAACATGTTGCTGAAGCTGCTGTTGCTCTTGCTGTTGCTGTTGCAGTTGCTGTTGCTGTTGTTGCTATTGCTGCACATCTTTGTTGCGCCTTGTTTTTTGATCTTTCACGCTGTAAATTATACAGCGGCAGTAACAATATTGTTGTTGCTGTTGCTGTTGTTGTTGTTGTTGTCTTCGCTTTGATGCAAATTGTTGCTGCTGCTATCTGTCTTGCTGTCAACAACACAAATAATTGTTGGCAACATTGCATGTGAAACGGTTTTCTTGTGTTGCCAACAACATTTGCCTGTGTCGCTTGTCATAATTTGGAATGCACGCCGGCGGGCATATTTTAATTTGCTACAGTAAAGCTTGCCTGTGTTGTGCCACAATACAAATTGTCTAAGTTCCCATGCCTCAACCCTTTTACTATGATAGGAAACAAATAAAAATTAAATAACAAAAGTTATAAAGCGCAACATGAGAACTAAACATTTTTGCACACAAAATTCTTCCTAGAAAAAGTAATAAAAGTTAATCCAAATAGCAAATAATAAAAGCTAAACTCGTTATTTCAGGCCACACACAACGCGTGTCGAGCGCCCAGAAGCCGGCGCACACTTAAAAAACCAATAAAAAACAAAAAACAACAGCAACAACAAATAATTGCTAATTTTATGCTCGAATAAAAACGTAGAAGGATCAAAATGGGCACCCAAAAGCAGCAGCGGCAGCGGCAGCGGCATAAATTAGTGCGAGCGAAATGGCATTATGAAAACGTCACGCACTATTAAACGAGAAAATGATCAATGGGGGCACATACTCACAGACAAACACAGACGCACACACGCACACACACTGGCAGAGTCAAACAACGATCGAGTCAGAGAACAGAGGGAGAGAGACCGAGAGCCAAGAGTTAGACCACCCAAAGCGAAGCAACGAATAAAAGACCACCCACGACGCTCAGGCACATGTGTGCGTGTGTAGTGAAAAGGCCTTTGAAAACAAATTCAGTATTGGCTGTGAAGGCTAGAGAGAGAGAGCGAGCGAGAGATGTGCTGAGAAGATAATTGAAATATGTACAACTTGAACATGTGCGCTGAAGTGGGCATACACAAATTTCAAAATAATAAAAAGCGAACAACGACAACCATAATAAATAAATAAAATAAAAATAAACATATGTGTGCCAACATGTGTACGTACATATACACTTATATTCATATACATACATATACATCTATATGTAATCTGCAACTGTTAGGCTGGCAAGTGAAAGAGTTGGAATCGTTGTCCGATTTTAGAATAGGTTGAACAATTTTTCAGTTACTTTTCGTTTTTGGTGCTGCCAGACAGACGTACGTAAATCAATTATTTTCGTATAGGGCACCCTGTGCCTTACTATCGATATATCGATATCTGACAAATGTTGTTTGACGGCGTTGCTGTTTTTATGTGGCTCCTGTGTCAGCCCGTTTAACTATAATTTGTAAGAAATAACTTTCCGCATATCTCGGATCTTATATTCAGCTTCTTAAATTTGTTGTTGCACGAAGATGCCACCGAAAAAGGCGCCAGGTCCGAGCAAAAAGACGGAACAAAAGAAAAAGGAGAAGGTCATAGAGGTAAATCAAATGTTGCACGTCTGCCCCATCGCGATATCAAACTTAACCTCAATGCAAAGCCCACGACGGACAGCCGTTCAATACAACGTCAACAATTTTACTATATTTATTCATTTTGACAGGATAAAACATTTGGTCTGAAGAACAAGAAGGGAACTAAGCAGCAGAAGTTCATTCAGCAAGTACAGAAACAAGTGCAGGCCGGCGGGCATCATCCTCGCCAAGATGGCGATAAGAAAAAGGAGGACAAAGAAAAAAAGTTGGCGGATCAGAGAGAGTTGGCAATGATCTTCAAGCCTGTGCAAACGCAAAAGGTGGAAAAGGGCACCGATCCAAAATCGGTTGTGTGCGCATTCTTTAAGCAGGGCACTTGCACCAAGGGTGACAAGTGCAAGTTCTCGCACGACCTGTCCCAGGAGAATAAGGTGGAAAAACGTTCAGTTTATGTGGATATGCGCGATAGCGAAGATGATCCCATGACTAACTGGGACGATGCCAAGCTCAAAGAGGTTATCGACAAGAAGCATTCGGGTGAAAAGCGTCGCCCTACCACGGATATTGTAAGAATATCAATTATCGCTTTGTGGATATTCATCTAACTTGAAAATATTTATTAGATTTGCAAATACTTTCTGGAAGCTGTGGAGAAGTCCAAGTACGGTTGGTTCTGGGAGTGCCCCAATGGCGAAAAATGCATTTATCGTCATGCGCTGCCTCCTGGCTATGTACTTAAGCGAGATAAGAAAAAGGAGGAGAAGCCAACGGAGATTTCGCTGGTCGATCTCATTGAGAAAGAGCGCGCCGCATTGGGACCGCATCAGACGCGGGTAACGTTAGAATCTTTCCTGGCCTGGAAGAAGCGCAAGATACAGGAGAAGAAGGAAAGACTGGCTGCCGACGAAGAACGCAAAAAGAGCGACTACAGCAAGGGCAAACAGTTTGGTATATCTGGTCGCGAAATGTTCAGCTTCAATCCCGATTTGGTTGACGATGGTCCAATGGAGGAAGGCGATGCTGCATTTGACATCTATAAACGTGACGACGATGATGACGACAATACCGTTGAATTTAAGGAGCTGGATTTGGCAGCGCTCTCACTGGCAGCTAAAGAGGTTGACGGTTCTGGCACTATTGCATCCAGTACACGATTACTCGATCAAGCTACAGAAGCAGCCAAGACTGCTGCAGCCGAAGATGCAGCGCCCTCAGCATCCAGCGCTGATAATGAGCCCGCCATTAACAAAGATCTATTTGCGGACTTAGATTTGGCGGGCGAGTTAGATGATCTTGATGACGACGACGATGATGAGGACGATTAGACGTCAAATGCAGCGAAAGCAATGCTTTGTTATAGTTTGATATTGAATTGCGTACGTTCATATAATGAGTTCTGCCTTTAGCAACTTTTGATCAATAAAATTGTGACTTCACGTGTTGCACAAATGTTGTCTTGCCACATTGCAGCATTTGTGTGCCATTGCTGTAAGTTCTAAAAGTGTCGAAACTAATTGGATATTTTATTATTTCAATCTGTACAGATATGTCGAACCCATGTTAACCAATCACAAATTTATCACAGACATCATTTAGAGCTCATCGTCATCAACTACTTCAATATTGTCAATCACTTGATCATTCCAGGCAGTCAGCTTTGATGCCAGCCGCCAGAGGCGTTGCAGATAAAGTTGTCCATCGGCCACGAGTATTTGCCGGACTTGTTTGATGGACCAGTTCATGCATTTATTGCTTGACTTAAAAACATATTTGAAATTGCGAGACTCGTGCATATAGGGCAGCCTCTCTAAGTCTGACATACGATTCCATACTTTAGCTGCGATGCTCAAGCATTTCGGCTTGGACATATTGTACTTCCGCACATTTTCATTTCTACAAAAGTGCTTCAAAAATATAAGAAAAGATTTATCTTTACAAAGCGTTTTGAGCGGCACGCTTTTCCCATTCCTTTTTTTAGATTTTGTTTTGCGCCTCTTTTTCGCTGATGAACAGTTAACTCGAACCATTCTGTAAACAAATTTGGACGGTAAAATAAGTATATTTTATTATATTTATATATTTATAGACGGAAATTTCTATGCTTTGAGTTCTGTGAAAACGTTGCTGAAAGAGGAAAAGCGGAAAGATCTGAAAATATGTTGGCTTATATGTAAGTTAGTAGCCTTTATTTAACAATGAATGGGCCCATGAAAGCTTCTCATCAACTATTTTTATCATAACGAACGTTGTAATAACAATTAAATTATATAATAAACATATATATATATATATATAAAGAGCTACCAAAAGCCTGGCGGCAACACGCCCATTGCCTGTGGTATTTGACGTTCACGCAAAAATTTCGATAGCAGCATTTCGAGGCGTGTCTTTGGACCGCCCTCGTCATAGGCCGACAGCTGTGGCATATACGCCGTCTGTATATATAGTAGAAGTTTTAGGAAGTTCCTACCGTAGGCACGCCAAAGCTCAAAGCCCAGGGTCTGCAACATCTCCATGATCATGGTGGCGCAAATGTCAGGCAATGGCTTCACTAGCATAATGTGGGTGAGCCAACGCCAAGCCTCCTCCAGGCCAAAGCAATGGTTGGGTCCATCTGCCTGGCGGCCAGGCGTGATAATTACTGCAGCATACAGACGCGCAATGCCAGTCTGACGCTTGAGAAACATGTCCGGCTTCTCCAGCTCATTGTTCTCGGTGATGCGATAGCCCATTGTCTTTAAGTACTGCTCGGGTGATTGATCCGGCTGCTGTGGTATAACGTAAGGAACCAGATACGGCGACTCCTTGTACATGTAGGCCAAGAAGATCTTGCCAAAGTCGGGCAGCAGCTTCCAAAAGGTAACAATCACCGAGGCAAATGGGAAGGCTGCTTGAGGATTACTCGATATGGCGGTGTCTGTTTGGCTAACAAACTTCTTCGCCATTAGCAGAATGCAATAGTCCCTTGCCAATGGATGATCATTAATGGTTATCGTACTGCCGTCCGTAGTTCTTACGGGTTGGCCCGCAAAGAAATTGTATAGCTTATCAAAGTTAGTCTTGAGATGCTGGGCACTAGTCGCTGTGATCGCGTTCAGTGGCAAATTGATGGTTCGCTGACAATTTGTTCGATACTTTTTCCAAGCCTCGTCCGTCTGAAGTGGTTTGACAGCATCCACTTTGCTCTGATACAATGCATTGATCTCGTTGTAGAAAGCCAAACGTGTTGGATGCACATAGCTGGTGGAGATGCTAGCTGGGACTGTTGCTGTCACTGGAGCCTCTGTAGTTGGCGCCTCCTGTGCTGTTGCTGCAGTCGTCGCTACGTTTGCAGCCGCAGCGGCCGCAGTTGCGGCAGCATCGGCTGTTGCTTTAAGCTCAGCCTCCAACTGCTGCTGTTTCTGTTCCTGCTGTTTCTGCTGCTCCTCTACTTCTAGTAGGCGCTGCTTTTCTTTCTCTTCCGCCAACTTTTTGGCTTTGTCTAGTTGCTGTTGCTGCTGCTCCGACAGTTGTTTGTGTAGATTCTCGTCCAGTCTATCCAGGCGCTGGCAATATTGTTCCGCTGTGAAGACACAACTCAGTTCTGGTGGGTCGCTGCTTCCTTTTTTAAGTTTTTCAACTAGCTGATCGAACAGTTGTCCCAGCTCCCGTAATTCAGCATTATGAGCGGCACATGCCTGTACGGTCTCCTTGTCCAGGGCCAGGAACAGCTTTGTCACCAATTCATACTTACTGCAAAATCGCCGATGACAACGCGAAACGCCCTCGATTGTCAGCAAATACAGTTTTTGGTTATTTTGCTTAATCAGCGCTTTTTGCTCGCGCTGTTGCGCCTCCAGTTCTGCTTTGGCCAGTTGCTCGGCCTGCTGCTGCAAAAGTTTGTCGCTCTCTTCACGTTTTGCCCGGTTACTAACACGCAGCTGCTGCTGTTCTGTCTTCTGCTGGGTGGCAAAGCGTTCATTGATCGCTTTTTGCTGCCGTTCTTTAATCAGATTCAATTGATAGCGCACACTTCGCTTACATTCCTTATCTAGCTCCCGCTTGACAATGCTTGCATTTATGTCGTTTACATCAGGGCCAATGCTTGGTAAAATATCCACTGGAGATGTCTGCTTATTTAACGTGGTAATTGATAATTGAGAGAGGGTAGTTTGGACTGGCTCGACAACGTTCGGACTAAGTGATTTTTCCACTTGTTTTTGCTTCTGATCCGGACCAATTGTGCGCGGTCCCGTGCAAGCTAAAGACGCCACAGCCGCGTGCTGAAGTACCGTATGAACATTCATGAGACGTGTATGGTCCCGCACTAAGTCATCCACGCTCTAAGATCAATTTCAGGCTGTTAGCTCTATTTGTTAAGATTCACTATATACTCACCATTTTAATTATTTTACAACTTTACAAATATTCGACAAAATATAGATGGCGGCGTCACGCCGGCCGATATAAAAACTAAACAAAACAGCATAGAGATGGGTAGCTGTATTTCAACTATGAACTAGTTCAATCGAGCTTCATCGCCAAATGAGCTGCAAGCAGTTCAACCAGAGTATTAAATCATTTTTCTGATTTGTAAATGTTATACGTATTATTAATTTTTTACAGCTAAATTTAAGTTAAGCGGTAATTTATCAAACAGAATGAAATTGGTTTTTTGAACTCGATACGATTTTTGTTATCTGCTTCGTTATCAGCTTTTTTGTTTACATATATTCTTTGTGAAACTAATCAGCTGATTTAAGAAATCAACTTTTTCAACTCTCGTCACTTGCATTATTTGTATTCAGCACAAAGGAACATTGCAAAATAAAAATGATAAGGCTGTATTTAACACTATGCATATTTGAAACACAAATACATAAATAATTTAGAAAAATTTAACTCCATGACTACCATCCATTTCAATAAGTTCACATTTTCCCTTCCCCTCGAGCAGACGTAAAGCGTTTAGCAATACGTCTTCGTCCATATTATGGAACTCCATCTGGGTGCTATTTTCGCCAGCGACTAGCTCGTAGAGTGTACAAATACTATTCGTCTGTCCGGTCTCTTGTATCCAATCGTAGACCATATTTCCGTATTCTTCCAGCGTGTAGTGATAGACATGCCACTCCTGACGTCGTTTGTCCAGTGGAGCAGCATGTCCGCTTTGTTGCAACTGCTCTAGTATGAGCAGTATTAGCTCAGGCGATAAGCGTCGATTTATTGATTCATTAAAAAATAATGGCAAGTTTTGATCGTTTGTATCAATTGTAAACCTATTCACATGTTTGAGGTATTTCAGAAAGAGATCTGTCCACACCTTCAGCTGTTGTCTGCGTGTTTCTTCATGCGGCTGCAAACTATGATATATTAATGAGTAAATTTACCATAATCTATGTTGTATTGTTACTTACGTGAAGAAAGGAGGAAATGTGTACTCCCAGGGCCATTGGAACTCGGCCATTGTTTAGTTAAAATTGACGTCATGTCACACAGAACATATGTTCAAGCGGAGTTGCCACTATGCTATCGATTATTCGGTGCCAAAACTTACTATTGCGATAATCGATACGATTTATTTTCAAATTTGAATTCATGGTGTCCCAGCTGAAATTACAATTTGCAATGCATTCAATTTGCTTCTTTATTTGTCTTAATTAGAAAAATTGTGTACATTAACATTTTTATTCCATACAGTTTGAGTTCATTTCATCTTTGCTATTTGTTGTAATTGTTACATTTCCATCCAAAAGTAAACATGTAGAGACAAAAAGAAGTATTATATAGATATCGGCATTTGCTTTGCATTACAATCATAAATATCAATTTACATATACTTATATCAGATATATATATAAATATATTCTTGATCAATTATATATTTAAAGTACTAGGAGGCGCAACACTATACATTCAATATTTCGGTTTGTCTTTTCTTTTTATTTTTAATATATATTTTTATTTAGTTTCTCTTGATTTTGCTTAAACCAGCTGCTGCTTTGCCCTAAACTGCATTCCATTATACCTATTTAAATTTAATGTTAGTAAACTTATGTGGTTTCTTTCAATTATTTTTTATATCTTTATAAAATTTAGAAGCATCGTCGTGCTTTAGAAGTAATTTTGTGTGTGTGAGTGTGTGCATTTGTGCTCGTTATAAGTTTTCATTTCTTATTTTGCTGCAATCTAAATGGCTTTGTATTAGGCTTGATTTACTATATTTAATGGTAATTTGTATTCTTGCTGGGTTGAAGGAGAGAGCTGTGCAGGCAGTACATATTTAATAGTAATATTTAGAGTAATATTATGTTTTTCTTTGCACTTTGCTTTTGTCTTTATTTGGTTTTGTACACATGCGTGGAAATTATCTAGAGAGCCATATATATATAATTATATATATATATCGGGAAACAAAGGTGTCTCTTTTATAGTTCAGTTTTGTGTTAGCTAGTTTAAAGAGTTTTACAGTTAGTTCCTAGTTAACAAGTGAGGTTTGGTTGAAATCTTTCTTTACTATATAAGTAGGTATATATGTTTTACTGTTTCGGTTTTCATTCCTTGCGTTGCTAATTCTAGACATTTATGTAGCCATAACTTTTTGTTTTTTTTTTTGCTGTCTCGTACGTATAGTAAAGCGCTCTACTAATTTCTTTAATTAGACAAAAATGAACGATTGTAAAAAATAAATGCCCTATAACTGTGCTTTAAGCATATTAATGAAAATGTACACTTGAAATGCTTTGCTGGTTCTCTTAAAGTAGGTTCAAAAGAAATGCAATAACAAATGGCAAAAAATTGAATAATTAAAATCATTTTAAATCTGCAAAAGATTTGCTTTTCTTTTCGTGCATCTAAGCTTAATTTACAGCACGTTCCAAAGAAACCAAACATATATTTTAATATACGTTTTGTTTTTTTTTTTTTTTGCCATACATTCGAGAACAAATCTTCAGCACATAGACCTGACGCCTGTGTATAAATATAAAATGTCGCCAAAAACAAACAAAAGTTTTCTTAAATTATTAATTAGCAAAAAAATCAAATAAACAATATATGCCTTATAAATTACATAAAATACATAATATGCTCGCCCTAAATATCATTTACATACAGTTCTCAGACCTTACAAACATATATATATATATGGTATAATGTTATTGGTAGCCTACTTAAAAATGGCATTTGGGTGACCTGTATGCGCTTCACATACGTTATACATTACATATTACATTATACATATACATACAGTACATACATTTATATATCGAGTTGGTATAAATTGTGAGCATCGACAATATCCATTTCGTTTGCATATTGCATTTATTTTGCTCCGCATTGGTTGCTTGTTTTGTTGGTTGGTTGGTTGGTTGTTTAGCCTATGGTCTAATTGAGTTACATATACATATAAAGTTTTGGGATTCTCGAATCACTGCACGTATAGCATGACATGACAGCATGTTGTTTCACACAATGCTCCATATTTCGACTAATGACTAATACTAGAGTATAGCTAAACCTAAGCTACAATTTTTGCCTAAGACAACGATCGGCTGCCTGCCATGCAAGTTGTGGAGGGCTGCTGCTGCTGGCTACTATTGCTTGCTGCCGTCTACTTAGCCAAAGGTTCCAGATAGCAGCGCACGGTATTATTCTCATCCAACATTGCTGATAAATGACGAGCCTGCTGCTGCTGTTGTGTGTGGTGATGCTGGAGATGATGTGCAGGAGCATGTTGGGGATTGCTGTGAGATGTGTGCGACGACGAAGATGTTGTGGACTGCGGTGATAGTTTTTGTAACTGCTGACGCTTTTGTGCTGGCGTCTGGTTGGCCGGTGGCAGCGGCGGTCCTGCATTACCATGGCCAAACAGCTCATTTACCGCCAAGCGTGCGTTCGGCGACTTGGCATTCTGCTGTTGCTGTTGCCTGTATGCGCCACGCATGGAGCCCTCACCAACGCCGCCGCTAACCCCAAAAACCGCGCCATTGTGCTCTGGGTGGGTTGCTGCTGCAGATTGGATCGACGCTCCATAATCAAGGGGCAAGCCATTCTTTCTCTGCTGGCGTCTGTAAATAATATTTTGGTTTAATCTTTGACTATTGAAGAAGTTATCGAGTTACTTACTGAAACCGCCGTTTAAAATCTTCATCTTGGAGCGCCATTAGACGACGCATTCGCTCATCACTTTGAGGTGGCAATCCGTGAGTATCGTCATCAATATCGCTCTCATTATCCTCATCATCACAGACGCTGTCATGCAACTGTTCCGCTGCCGTCACCTCGTCATCATACTCATCATCATCATCGTCGTCGTCGTCATCATCATCAGCTGCACAGCGTCGTGGCGGTTGCTTCTGTTTTTGTTGCTGTTGCTGTTGATTTCTGGAGGTAACGCTGCCTCCGCTTAGACTGCCACCACAATAGCGACTTCCTCCAGCAGCTACTGCGGCGCGCATGCTGTTAAAGACGCCTGTGCCAACGCTGTTGTTATACACTTCATCCACATCAAAGTCGCCTACTTCATAGTGCTGCACATCCGAGTTTCGGTTACTCAGAATCTCCTCGTAAACAGGCCCACCAGCATCGCCGCCGCCATTGCTGCTACCGCCTTGATTGTAATAGGCATCGCCATGGCCAACGCCCATGTTTATTCCTAAGCCCATGCCCTGGCTAAGATCACAGTTGGAATGCTTATTTCTATACTGTTGGCGTTGCTGTTGTGCTAACAACTCCTGTTGGTACTGCGCTATGTGCGGCGGCGGCGCTGGCAATTGCTGTCCACCAACACGTCGTTGCTGGTGCTGCAAGTGTAATAGGTGTGCATGCTGTTCCGCCTGTTCCTCGTCTGAGGATAGCTGTTGTTGTTGTTGCTGCTGCTGCTGACGTTGCTGACGCAACTGCTGTTGTTGTTGCTGCAGCTGTTGTTGGTAGTAAGCAGCATTGGGTGGGTCAAGAGCCTCAGCATAGTGTGGGTACGATTGTTGTGATGGTGGCGCCTGTTTCAAGCCGGTGGTCTTCTTATACGATGGGTAAAACAACACCTGCGAGGCGGCCGTGACGCGACTGTGAAGAGATCCGCTGGGTGATGCGGGCACAGCTCCGGCCCCTCCCCCACGCTTTTTCTTGCCGTGCTGGTTGTTATGTTTCTGTGTCCAATAAAACACCTCATGTGCCTGTTGTGGCGAGGCACCTCCTACGCCACCCACACCTGCACCCACTGCCCCTCCAGCATTGTTGTAGTATTCGCGTTGACCTCCAGGCGGATGTTTCCAGCTGTAGTAGTCTGGCTGATGGTAGTAGGTTTCGCCTGCTTGTTGGAGCTGCTGTTGCTGTTGCTTATGTGCAAATATCAAATGTGTGGAGCCAGCTGAGCTAGTTGGTGATGCATGGCCTACGCTAGCCATTCCAGTGGAACGTAACGTGCTTCGCTCGTGCACAACCGCACCAACTGGTGCTGGCTGCAGGCTACCCGTTAAAAGTCCACTTTTGAGCGTGCGACGTTGTTGGGCTTCGTTTAGCTCACAGTCAGAGCCGGCGCCCATAATTATCGCGTCTTCGGCAACTGGCAGATCATGTTGCTGCAGCTGTGGATCCACATCGCGAATTTCGTCGTTTGCGCCCAGCGGTAGTTTCGACTTCGACTTGGAAAGTGTACCAGCAGAGTTGTTGGCAGCATTTCCGACTCCTGTGCCGCCATTACCAGCTACTACACCCGAGGAGATTGACGTCTTTGAACAACGCAGGCATTTCGGCAGCCAGGCATGTTGACGGACGTATTTCCGATATTCGCGGCGAATTTTCTCGTTTTGTATACAATGGAATACAAATATGTAGATGCCTAGCAGTGTGTTGAAACAGATGAAACAGTAGCCGTAGATGGTGGCCACATCCTCGTCGAGTTTTGCGTCCCGCAAATAAAAGTAGGCGGAGCACCAAACGGCGCTAAGCAGCAACAGAAAGACAAATGAGCAGCGTATGTCGAACCTAAACAACCGAATAAAAAATGGATTTATAGAATTTGGAAATAATTTTAGATCGTTTACAAGGTGTAACATACCGCACATTAGCTAATCGCGTGTGCTCCTTGGTCTTCAGAGCAGTTCGACTCTTGCGGCGCATGATGATCCACGACAAAAAGGTATAGGTAATAGCCGCCTGTTCAGAGAGTTAAGTATTAGGCAATGCATTTGAGTGCTTAGTACTGGAACCTACCACAAAGAATAACAATACGGGCGCCACGAAGGAGGCATAGAAGAGCGCGTTGGCTTCCATGAGGACACAGTAATCATTTTGCGTGTATGTACTGGGATCGATCACCAGCGAAATGGCCACCACACTCAATGAGAGGCCATAGGACAACAGATAATAGCAGTTCACCTTAGGCGTTTGATCCACTTCCAGTAGCAGCTCATCAGATGTGAGCGTGGAGTATGAATGGAAGGCTGCGCGTAAGTTGGAAACGTTAGAAGTTGCGCTACCCACTAAAACCTATTAGCGCTTACCTTCATAGCAAAACCAGGCGGTGCCCGAGAGTATGGCACAGTGCAGAAAGATGGTAATGAACCCACAAAATATGCTTGTTTCGGTCTGTTCGATTCCCAGCAGAAAGAGCAGCTCAATGGCCAGCAGGCAAATATAAATGCTGCTATAGATCGAGGTGCGTGCAGACTGCAGAAAGAAAAAGAGAGAGAGATAGTGAGCGAGAGAAAGTGGGAGATAAAGAAAGTTCGAAAATTGCGCGAAAGTAAAAGGGATTTTACAAGTTGTCTTTGGTTTCCTTCAACTCAGCCCGAAAAGATTTGCTTTTTCATCTCAACTTAATTTAGTTTACAATAATTTTGGTGGTTTTTTGGTGGTGAAAATATCCGAAAATAAATTGATTAAAACATTCTATGACTGTTACAACATTTAGCGCATAAAACAAAACAAAACATGAATATGAAACAAGACACGAAACAAGCAAATATATGTAATAGAAATAAAAAAGTACTACAAAAGGAATAAACACAAAATACAAATATTTACAATGCAAAATTAGAAACATTTTTATTATTAATTACACACACACAAAGAAAATTACGAAAATGACAAAAGAACTAAATGCATAAATATTATCTGGTTTTTAAGTTAATTTGTTAAACAAGGAAATTCACATAAATTAATCGATTTGTTAATGTTCCATCATGAGAGTACTCACAACATTTATAGCATGCCAAAAATGTATATTTCACTAGTAATAACTAGTAAAGAAAATGCGCTAAACTTATTTCAACTACAATAACTAAAGGGAATATCTATAGAGGTACAAGGCTGGGGGCATGTTTTATATTTGTCATTAAAATTGACGTAATCAAATTAAAAAGAATTAGAAAAACAATTATAATTAATTGTTTGTACTTCCGATCTTCGACCAAGCCTTGCACTAAAGTCTTCTGTTAAGAATTGTGTTAGTTCTGTTAACAAATACAATTTAAGTTACTTAAGCTTTATATCACATGTGCATGTTGCCCAGGGGCTTCTCTGCAATTATATATCTAACTCTCTAGCTATGAGACAATGTGTATACAGATGTCTAGCTATATATATTTTGTTTATATAGATATGTATCCTAGCCTAGCCTACAATTGTGCAATGCTCTTATTGTTTTCACCACCACCACCACTTATATTGCAAGTCATCCATATTAGCCTGCATTATGATGTTGTTCGTGTCCAACGCGTTGCTGCCATCGACATTCAGATTATGATTGTGCTGCGAGTGCTGTGTTGCATGCTGATGCTGTTGCTGCTGCTGCTGTTGTTGTTGTTGCTGCTGCTGTTGCTGCTGATGCTGTGTCTGTTGTCGCGTATGCAGATAATTGTGGCTAATATTTAAATTGTTGCTGACAGCAGCATTGGCAGCAGCTGCACCCACATGAGCAGCATGTTGCTGCAAGGCAGCAGCAATTGACGCTGCCGCTGCAGCAGCAGCTGCTGTTGTAGTTGTATTCGATGCAGCAGCCGATTGCGGGCCATGAGGATGCAAATTCAAATTTAAATTGTTCATTTGCATACCGCGTTGCGATTGGTTTATGTTGTGATTATTATGACCGTGGGAGAGCACCACAGCAGCAGCTGCAGCAGCGACCACCTGTTGCTGTTGTTGTTGCTGCTGCTGCTGTTGCTGAAGATTATAATTTAGATTGTTACGATGCGAGTTGCGTATGGAGTTATGCTGTATGAAATTGGTGTGCTGTTGCATATTGTTGTTGTTGTGATTATTGTTTGGGCCAGTTGGCGTAGTGAGTGTCAATGATTCATGGGTCTGATCGCGTATATTATTCTGCTGCCGCCTGCTGCTGCCCGCGCGCTGATGCGGCAATTGCGTAGAGTTTGCGTTTCTTACCTTAACGAAGACGCCATTGAAGAGCTTTAGTGTGAGCAGCGCAATAATGATGAAAATCACGCAAATCGCAACGCTGATATAGATAAAGATACGCATATTTCCATCGAACATGGTGAATAGCGAGTGCTGGTGCTCATCGACAACATCCATAAGTATTGCAAAATTGGTTAAATGATTGCAGCTGCAGACGCTGTGTGTTCGATTCGTCGACTCAAGACTGCAGCCATTGGCAGACCAGGCACTGTAATTATAAATGTTGTTTACATCAGCATGTCTATAACTAGTCAAGTCAAGTGTTTATTTACTGGTCAATGTAGTTCCAAAAAACACAGGTGGGATTGCTGACATTCTCCGTTTTCAAGTGCTTTAGCACTAGTGTGATTGGCTGTGACAGTTGTATGTGGCGGCCTTTGCCCAGGCTGGCCGAGATCACCTTACTGTTGAGAATGCGTATGCGCTGCTGCATCTCTCCAGCAGCTGCATCACTGTCATTCGATAATATAGCTGTGTTTCGTACTGCATAGATAATAGATAAAGTATTAGTTCTTAGAACGGAAAAGGCATGGATGCTATAGATAACCTACCATAGCTACGCGCACTTTTTAGATCGAAATGATCATAGCTGGGCTTCAGTATGGACTCTAGTCGATCAAACGCCGCAAATACAATGCGCACCAGGCCACCTTCGCTGTTTTCGATTAGAGCTGTGCGTGGCAATTCAATGCGATCGGAGCTCAGTGGCCATTGATCAGAGTCGGGAAATACGACACTACCATGAATAGTTTTTGTTTCCAATACGCGAACAGAGAGCACTAAAAAATAAAAGTGTACAATTGTATTTTCGTTCACATACAACTCCTAAAAGATTCAAGTACTTACATATGTTTTTGACCTTCTGGACTACATTACGCTCCCTGATAATCGTATCGGCTAGCAGAAAGGCATTGTACTCAAGACCAGTTAGCAGAGAGGTGGCAACGCGCATTTGATCCTCTGGATTGAGATCTAGCCAAGAGGAGAGTTGTGATTCGTCAAGTAAATTGGATCCAGTTTTGACAACGCCATGCAGCAGCTCCATAATAATAGCTTCACGTTGCCGCTGATCGGGAAACGTTTCCTTATCGTGCAGCATCTTCTCTGACATAGTTTGTATGATCTTGGTTGTGACAAGCATGTCGCCGCCATAGAGCGTCTTACTACTGGTCACCTCCGATAGATCGTTGGCGATCGACGTTAAAGACGAATCGCGCTGGTTAACACGCATCTCGAGGCTATTTAGCCAAAGACTGCGGCACTGTGTTAGGTCAGGTGTGAGTGGATGCCACGTGGGCTCAAAGTTGCGAAGTCGCTGGTTTTGGTTGACCTTATGTGCCATGCTCACTGGCGGATCGCAGCTGCTGCTGTTGTGCAAGCAATCGCCACCGTTGCTGGACGGTAGAGGCGTTGTGCTACTAGCAGCTGGCAACTCATCATCATATTCATCGTAGCCCGAATCCGGCAAACGCTTCATCAAGACACAACGCCACTTGGCAATGCCAGCAGCGCCGCCTGGACATGGCTGCACATTAACGTCGCCCACGCGGGTCATGTTCCAGAAGAGATTGCGAGCATGCATAGCACCGCAAAACAATTTGGACTCATCGTCTGTACCCATGCCAGCCGCATTCAAATTGATGTTATTTATAGTGCGCACTACATTACCAGTTCCAGCACCACCAATATTTACGCTGCTGTTGGTTGCACCGGCTGTTGTACCCGGTGTACGATTCGGCGAACTCTTGGTAGTTAGCAACGTGCCATCATCGCTGCCAGCACCACCGACGCCCGTCAAAATCCGTGTATTGGATGGAGACGTAACATTGCCAGTGCCTCCGCTGTTGCTGCTGCTGCTCGGTTTGGTGGGCACTGTCTCATCCGTGTGATGGTGGTGATGATGCAATTGGGGTGGGGGCGGCAATCCGTCGTGTCGACCACCTGGATGCTTGGTAGTTGCGCTAGTGACGCCCTTGAGTCTGCCACCAGGCAGCGCAGCTGTGCTGCTGCTGGGCGTCGAGTGCGTGGGCGGCACTGCATTGATGCCATGAATGCCCACAACACCAGGCAGACTGGGCAGACGCGGCGGCAGAGGTGGCGGTACCTGTATAAGACCGCTACCATTACCAAAGATGGGCGGGCCATTGCTTAGCACCCATGGTGGGGGACTTGGCCTATTTGTAGTCGTCGACGTTTGTGCCGCCGAAATGCATTGATAATGCGCCTCCAAATATTTGTGTGTACCAGGACAGGGGTCACCGAACATGCTGGTGGCAGCCAGAACACTGCAGCTTTGCTTGTGCGAACATCTGTGAAGCGAAACAAATGAATTATTAATATCTAGCGATATAATAAATAGAATACGATGTAATCATGGCACGGATATTTAATTACTCTTTCAATAAGTTGTATATTTAGTTCTGATATATATAATGTCTCTATTCTAAGTCTGTCACAAAGTGTGCAGACGAATGTCCTTTTTAATTCAGACTTATATCGCATATAGGCACATCATGATTGAAAAGATATTTAAATGTGTGCAATTTGTTTTATAATTCTAATAATTATTGATAAAGCTTACTTTGAGTTTAGCACGGTGAGACTTTTGGGAAACATACAATTGACGCTCCACTCAACGTTGCCATGATCATTGCAGATGGTGATCGAGAAACGACCGTAGTTGGCTCGTATCAGATTGATTAAGTCGCCCGGTTCGCATTCGATAGTCAGTTGCTTACCTTCGCAGGCGTAAGCAGTTTGGTATTTGGGCGCTGTAAATGGTTCAACATGAGTAAATACATATTTCCATATAATTGGAATCGTTGCATATAAATATATATAGATGGGTATGTGAAATAGAGAAAGTTTGTTATTAGCGCTGCGTTGATTTGTTGTAGTTTGGTTTGGTTTTGGTTGGTGATTGGTTCTGCAAAGACACTTACAAGCTATATATGGAGCATATACATATGTAATGTATATATATATAGATATATATATCATGATACACGCTTTTACGCTGTCTGCAATATACTTAGTATGTGTGGTGGGTTGGTGGGTCGTTAGCGATGCTTTGCAGCAAGTAGAATAGTAGTCATAAATACCAAATCCTGCCAGGCACAGCCCACTGAACTTGCAGGTCGGCCCTTGTCCCGAATGCTATCATCAATCTTGACTGGTTATCAACTCTTGTCCGAGTTTGTTGAACTGTAAGAAAATGGTTTTGATATAATTTACTTATTTGATATGACAGCCACTTACTGATAACAAAGCGGACAGTCGAAAAAACAAATCACAAAAATAATTGATAATATTTTATTGAGCACTTCGGGTCATTCCTAAGGTCTCAGACGACAAGTTAAATTTGCTTTTAATCTGTGCTTAAAGTAGTAAGTGAAAACTAAGTCTTAGAAGTCTAAAATTCAAACATGCTGTTAGTTTTAGTAATAACTCTAATTTCAACAAGAAAATATAAAAAATAGTAATTCTTGTATAATTTACGATATATATTTATACTGAACAAAACCCGTATGTATGTATATACACGTATAACTCACAGACTTTAAATTTGTAAAGTATGTCAACATCATCATCATTTTTTAATTTACAAGATATCGATAATAATCGAAAAACGAAATTTTTAGGCTTAAAGATTCCAAATATACTAAATAAGTTTTTGTATCCTAAGCATGCTTTCACAAATAATCTTAAAGCGTAATATTTACTGAACTAGTGATAAGAAAATAAATAGATTTTAAAATTATTCAAATATATATAACACTAAGTGTGATGTCAAAAGCAGTTTGCGTAGCACAAATTCTAATTACGTATGGGTATTTCCTACTTAAATATTACTGAGACAAGCATTTAATCAATATTTATATTCTGCTATTCAGTTGGGTAATTAAGGCTTAAAGTTGTGCAAGCTTGTATCGTAAATATTGTGCTGCACTCAACTATTTTAATGTAAACGTTGCATTGTCTACTAGTAGTTTATAACAATGAAGGCAGAAAAAGTGTCAGCCTCTTTCAATTTATCTCAGAAAATGCAATATTCAGGTGTTGACTCCATAGTCAACGGATTGTTCAGTTGTGATCGATGTATATGCTTTGAAAAAAACTCAATTTATTATGTTCTCAATTTTCCTTGTTTCTAGATAGATATCTATTTTATTTCCTTTTCTAAAAATGGATTGAGGTCTAAGATTAGGTCTCGGCCGTAGGCCAATGAGTTTTAAGTGTGTAGAATATATAATATAGATAGATTGTAAAACTCAAAAATAATATATACACATCAAATAAATTCATTTTTATTTTTCTATCTTTCTCTCTAAAAATCGACGAATTTTCAAGGCTCTATTCTATAAGAATTCCTCATATGAATTTATTGATTTTTCTCTCTATAATATATTAATCAACTGTGCAATACAACTAACATGACCTAATTAAGGGTTAAAGTTCACTTACCACAATTTCCCAATTCGTTCAACGCCATTTGCAAGCCACACAAAAAGGTACGAACGAACCACAACTGAAAGTACAACAGAAATCAGGCCATTAGTCACATACATTGGTACATATTTATTTACATGTGAAATCGAACGGAGCAGAGATAAACTAAGGCAAAGCAAACAGAAGATAAACACCAAAATGGAGTCTATAAATACACACAAATATACAGAAGATACATGCATACATATGCTTGCTTGTAAGAATGAATATATATATATATATATATTTATGTATGTACACACCCTTCATTTGCCGCTTTTCAGACGAACAAAGACTCGTTTTCTTTGTACACTCAAATTGCATTCGTAAAATGCAGTTCCATGTAGAGAAAAGTTGACGCTGACTGCGCTGCCGCTGTTGCTGGTGTTTCCACATATGTCACACATACAACTACACACTAACACAGTCAAGTTATTTTAGCTTCAGCGGAGACTGCGCTGCTTTGGCCAGCGGAGCACCCCGACTGGAAATTTTTTTCGGCTTTTTCGTATGACTTTTTAAGTACACTTTTTTGCACGAAATTCATGATTTCAGTTTTAGTATCTTAACACAAACTGTATATTTTATTGTAAATTTTTAGTTAACTATAATTTTTGTTTAATAATTTTTCTTTTTTTAGATATACTTCAACAGAACACGACTGCACTTGCTGACGTATGAGATGAGTATGAAATGGTGAAGTTGGGAAAGTCGCTTGAGAATGAAAACTGGTTTTGGTTTAGGTTGAGTCGCGTTTATTAAGTCTTCAGTTTTTGGTTTATGCGGATAAGTGAATACCAAATATATGTAATTTCATTAAGTCAAACATGGAAATTACTTATTTTATAATGTTTATATTTTCAACACTTGTCTAAAACTGCTTTTTTACAATTTAATGCAGCGCAAATCACAAGCTACTTTCATCCAGAAAAATTCTGTACACTTGAATGAATGATAGTCAATGCGTAGAAAAGGGACAGCAATATAAGCAAGCTAAAGTATATTTTACCGAGCTGCCAACTCGTTTGGAAGGGCGGTCAATTTGAACTCGAAAGAAATTAATGTTTTCTCATTGCAAATTGTGTAAAATACAATAGCTTTCAAAGGGAGCTTTCAAAAGGAGGGTTTCAAAAAATTTAAAAAAATTAATAAATGGTAAATGCTTAATTAATTATAATAAAATAAATTAAATTTTTTTAACAAAAAATGTATTAAGTTCCATTTAGGCTTTAACTAGTTTTTTTAGTAGGTTAATCGGGCGTAAGTTTTTGGTTCATGGCTATTAAAAAATATTATTCCGGGTTCAAAACGATTTGTTTTTAAAACCTTGTCTATAAACTAGCTAAATAAGCTGCAAAACTTTCAAGTGCAATGCAAAAAACTTCTTATCAGAGCAAAGCTGAGCTGAGCTAAGCTTCCTGAACTATAGTAGTTTTTAATAAAATAGTAATTTAGTGATTTCAGTATCGCTTGAAGCCTCGTGCATGTGCAAAGTAGTTATTTTGACATTACTAGTAAAATGGAAAAGGAGCTGTTGATAATCTTTATGATAGTCTCAGTTATTCCGTGGTCCTTCAGTGCTACGGTCTCTAGTGCGAAAAAGAAGGAACCACCTATAAAAGATTGTACACGAGATGTGAAAAACAAATCGGAAATGTGCCATAATACTACCCAAATCCCAGTTCAACTAGTAAATCAGACGGTTACTGCCAAGCCCAAGTTGGCAGAATTTCAAATAGATGCACATAAGACAATCAGCATCAGTAAAGATGATCTCAACGATCTGTTGGATGTTTATATGGACAAACTAGCCGAGAATGCAGCCACGATCCATGACAAAGAGAACGAGATAATCAATTTACAGTCCCGGAACAAATCCGATGAGGATCAACTAAAAAAATATCAAGAGCAATTGGAAACGTGTCAGATACAAAATACAACACTAACAAGCACGTTGAGCGCAAGGGATGAACAGATTAAGGGTCTGCTATTGAAAACAAGTATTTACGAGACGAGATTAAAGCGAAAACAAAATCTTTTGGCATTGCATAAGAAGCAAAATGCAAGCAACGCAGCAGCGATAAACGAGCTGAAAGCTCGAGTCAAAGTTTTGGCGTACAAGCTAAGGGAGAGGAAAGATGATCTATTGGCCGACTGGGAGGCGGCAACAAATAGTTGTTTGCCCCACAATAAAATATCTGGAATTCATTTAATGCAATTGCCCGATTTTCGACCGTTTTTGGTGGCCTGCGAGGGCAACGGCTGGACGGTGATTCAGCGCCGCATGGACGGATCTGTGAATTTCTATCGCAATTGGAATGAATATCGCAACGGCTTTGGCAAACTGAACGGCGAGTTTTTCATCGGGCTGGAAAAACTGCACAGGTTAACGGCATTTCAGCCCCATGAGCTTTTCGTATCGTTGCGCCTCTTCAATGGCAGCCATCGCGTCGCTTTCTACGACGACTTTATCATTGGCAACGAGACTGAGGGCTACGAGCTGAAATTACTGGGCAATTTCCATGGCAATGCCAGCGATGCAATGCGCACACATGACAAAATGAAATTCTCAACCTATGATCGGGATCACGATGAATTCACTCACATCAACTGCGCCGAATATCATCACGGGGCGTGGTGGTACGACTTCTGCTCTCGCAGGTGGGTGTGGTATAGAAGCTATAAATGACTATAAATTGATGCCATAAAAATACAAATGTATTAGAGAAAACTGAATACTTTATAAATATCTATATATATATATAATATACTAAGGAAAAGTAGAATTTTTTATGAACTATTACGATACTAATATCGTAAAAAAATTTATAATAAAAATCAGATAAGCATAATATGCTATAAAAATTATGATTTGCTCTAAAAATACTACAAAAATAAAAATCTTTATTTTTAGTAAATATAACTAAATAATTGCTATAGAATAATGACTTGCTCTAAAAAAACTCGCATGCTTTACTATAAAAAATAATTATAAATATATTTCAGCATATATATATTTAAAATAAATATTATTTTGATATAATTTTAGCAATCTCAATGGAAAATACTTTAAAACACAAACGGACAATGAACAAGGAATCTTTTGGGATCAATGGTACAGCTTCAAGTCGTTGAAGTCTGTGCAAATGCTGATACGACCAAAGAATGTTAAAATTTAAATAAATTTGATATCAAACATTAAATGACCGAAGATCATTGTGCCGAGCGATAAGTGCCACAATTATTTCCACACCCATTGGCAGACGAATCAATGATGCAATTAATTTTCCATTCATTCCATTTCATTGCCACAATAAGATCATTTCAATTAGGTTGGTGCATTATTCTGTGGAAATGAGCATCGGAAATGGGTCTTTGAAATTAATAGGTTTGTATACTCGTATACTGATGCCTTGTCGTTATTTCATTATCTGATTTATCAATAAATATAGCTGCTGCCAGAATAAACAATTTTTATAGCAAATATTTACACATCATATTTTTATGTATATATATTTATGTATATATTTTGATGCATATAGAGTTATATATAAAATAGTGGGTGTTAACCGGCTTTGCGCGGCTCTTATCTTTAAATATTCTGAATCGCTGTCCATGACTTAACCTATCCAAAATATATGTAATCTGTAATACATTTATTAATAATTTAGTCTTATCCAACTAAACTCAAGCAATCAAAGTGTGTCTTGAAAGTTGTGTTAATATTTAGCTTAAAATTATTTATTATTATTCTAATAAAACATATATGTATATGAAGCCTGTTGGAGCCTAAGATGACGTACAAGCTATATAAATTATAGCAAGTAAATATGTTTCAGATTTCAGCTGCATAAATTTAATTTAGTTAACAGTAAATAAATAGTATACATAGATATATGTCTGCTTAAATATCAAGATTATGTATTGTTATAACTAAGCTGAGATCGTTTTCTTAAAAGATCTATCAACTATTGTTTGTGATATTTTGTATAATTTAAGTTAGCTTTTAGCCAGGCTTATGTAGACTAGGCAGATCACTTGGTGGTATTTAGACGATATGATAAGTACACGAGTTCTCTAGTGAGTAGTGAGTATCTCTCTAAGTACATGCCAAATTAAACTGACTGACTGCCTGTAATGGCTGCGTAAATACATAGATTAGATGGCTGCTGGAGTGTCTTGTCTTGGCTGCTCCTCGACTTCCACTTCCACCTCCTCCAGCTGCTGCTGCTGCTGCTGCTCTTCCTCCTGCTGTTGCTCTGAAGTGTGCTCACGTTTTCTGTGCCAGCGCAAACTGGCGAACTGTGCGAAGCGCTTGCCACAAGCTCCACACTTGTACTTCTTCACGGCCAGATGGAGTTCGGTGTGCTTCTTGAGGTTGCCATATGTGGTAAAGGTCTTGCCGCAGACGGTGCACAAATGCTTGCGTATATTCAGATGGGCGTTCATGTGATCGGTGAAACGGTTCTTCTCATAGAAGCCCTTGTCGCAGATGGGACAATGGAACGACGACTGATTGAGATGCGTGCGTCGATGTATGTCGAAGAACGACCACGTCTTAAAGGACTTGCCGCACAGATCACAGATGTAGGGTCGTTCGCCCGTGTGCGTCCGCATGTGTATGGCCACCTCGGTGGAGGTGGCAAAGCGCTTGTCGCACTGCTCGCAGGCATAGGGAAAGTCGTGTCTGTGCCGCCTAATGTGCACCGTCAGATTACAGGGCATTTGAAAGCCCTTGCCGCACAGCGTGCAAATGAAGGGCTGTGTGCCATCGTGCGCCGCCCGATGCACTTTGTATTGATCGCAGGTCTTCACTAGCTCGCTGCACACATCGCAGCGAAAGGGACCCAGATTCGGCTCAAGAAACTGCCCAAGTTTCGCATGCAGCAAGGAAATACTGCTGCAACCGGCGACATTTGTGAGGATTTTGCGTTTCTGTGCTGAGAAATCCTTACGCAACTCGAACAGCGTCTTCTCCAGCTCGGCTGTTGTGTAGGCGCACTGAAACGTGGTATTGAGCTCCTCCAGCATTTGGCCCAAGGCCTGAGTGCGATATGCATTGGAGCGGAAGTCAGGATGATCTACATCCCATAAGGCTGGATAGTTGCGATAGATCTCCACGAACTGCAGCTGATCCTCCTGCAATTCGAAACGAATGCTGCTGGCATCAATGAACTTCGTGCGACGATACGATTCCACAACGCCCTTTTTCTAAAAGCAATCCACTTAATATTAAAGTTATTCGATGAGGTCAGCTCCTGCTACTAACCTTGTTTATCTTATTGAAGATCTGCTCCTGCAGTATCTTTTGCAGAAAGTCCAGCTCGTCGTAGCACCAGAGCTTGGGCAAATAGAGACCCTTGTGCTTGATCACCATGCGCAGTTCCTTGCGATAGCGCGTGCGCAGCTTCTGCAACTCCTTGAAGCAGTCCTCGCCGCTCATCTCGTAGTTGAGCTCCTCCAAGAGCTCAGCTGATATCTCCCGGTATAGCTCCTTCTTGCAGCAGTTATTGTAGTCAAAGTGTTGCGGATTCCACAGACTCTCCTGGCGTCTGAAGCCATCTATCAAACAGCTCAGCACTTCACGATATTGCGCTGACTTTGTGGTCGATTCGCTATCTGTTTCACTTGACTTTTCACTCTCCGCTGATTCGCTCTGCGAAGACGATGTTAGAATATGCATTATTCTTTGGGTTTCTTTTTTTGATCAATCTTCAATAACTGCCTGCCTGGAGGATGATGAATCCTCTCTGCAAACTCTAACAAGCAGCTTGCCAAGCTCAAGATGCTTGACTGCAACTGAAACCCTTTCTTGGACTCCTTCTTGCCCCTTTTTCTTTGCCTCTCTTACCAAGCAGAGGAGACACAACTGACAAACTACTTAAGAAATAGACCCAAATTCAGGCAAACTTGTCACGCATGAAACCCTAAAGGAATGAGCTCAATATTCCGGATGAGTTTCAGGAGGTACTTTTAGACCTCTGATGATTTTCAGAATGCAGCCTCCTTAGCTTACCTTATCTTCTCTCACGGCTGTCTATGACTAGATAGATCAGAAACATGTTTTTAATATGCAAACTGGAAACCCAATCACCCGGGTCGGGGAACCCAATTTACCCTTTTGTAAAGCCAATACCCTCACCTCTATCTCTCGGATCAAGCGAACTACCCTAAACAGTCCTATGGCTATGACTTAAGCTTTTGCCTTTGCCTCTTCCTCTTGCTCTGTCTCTCACTGTGTGAAAATAATCTTTCAGTTCGAGCAGCTAATCGACCCAGCCACCCCATCCATTTATCTTCTGCCTTACCTTTGCCTCCCGCTCGGCTCGCTTGGCTTCAATGACGCCGCGCAGGAAGTGCATCTTCTCAAAGTACCACAGACGCGACTTGTATTTGCCGCCCAATGCGTTCAGTTTGCTGAGCTCGCGGCGATAGCGGCCGCGCAGCTCCTTAAGCACGGCGAAGACTTCGGCGCCGGTTAACGGTATCTGAAAGACGGCCTGCAAGGGCGCGGCCAATTCGTTGTAGACGCTGCGCTTGGCATTGTATTTGTAGTCTGGATGTTTGGGATTCCAAAGCTTTTCGCTGCGCTCATAGGCCACCAGCAGAGAGCAGACAAATTCGCGATTGCGTTCAAGTTCGCGACGCGTGCGCTGCATGGGAGGGGGATGAAGAGCGGGTGGGAGAGAGAGGGAGAGAGAGTTAAAAGAAGTTGTTGTTGCGGTTGTCGTTGACGTAGCTCACCAGCTTCAAGTCTACGCTGCTGGCCACGCTGCTGGTGGGCGAGTTGGGCGGCATTGGCGTTGGGGGCGTGGCTGGCGGCGTTAGTTCCAGCACATTCTGCTCCATATGCTGGCACTGTTGTTGTAGTTGTAATTGCAACTGCTGCAGCTGTTGTTGTTGCGGCTGTTGCTGTTGTTGCTCTACAGCTGCTGTTGCGGTTTGCTTTTCCGCGTCGCGCAGCTTGCGCTGCATTGCCTGGCAAAAAGAATAAATAATTCGCATGTGTAAATAAATTCGTATCTTACGGATACGCACGCATAAATAGAGTCATATGATCGTGTCTTCACTTCACGTGTTTACATTGAACAAAGAATGAAAAAAAGGGAAAGTCTCCAGCCGCCTACGCCCGGCCCCAGCCCCGCCCTGCTACACCCCGAACAAGTGTAAATAGCTGCGGCTATTGGCCTTTAGGAACTGTGTGGGCTCTCGTCATCGACATGGCTTATCGCACACAGCTTTTACAACTGTAACAAGCTGCCCCTATATATGTATACATATATCTATATATATATATAAATATATATATATATCTAAAGTTGTTTTGTACTTCGTCAAAAATATGTTTGCATTTACATTGCTTTCATTTGTTTGTATTGTCCATGGAATTTTATGAATTATTCAAGGGTATATCGCGTGTCTCATACAATGTGCTTCCTCTTCTTCTTTTCCTACTTTAAGATCAGTTTCAAGCAGCTTTATCAGCTACGCACAACAATAGAAAAATAATTTATGTAATAAAAGTCTTTCAAAGCAATCTCAGCTGCAGCTTAGTGAAATAGTTTCCACTTGTGTATACCCTGTATTTTGCAGTTTGTGTTGGAAAACGAAGTTTGGGAAGTTTTTGAAGAAAAACCATTGGTTTTCAGTATTTAACTGGAGAGCAGCTTTTCATGCGCGTGTATATTTTTATATATTTTTTAAAATATATTTTCATTAATATATTTTTATATATATTTTTTTAAATATATTATTTTATATATTTTTGTTTACATATATTTTTATATATATTTTTTTTATATATATTTTTTAATATATATTTTTTTAAATATATATTTTTTTATATATATTTTTTAAAATATATTTTTTTATATATATTTTTTTTTAATATATATTTTTTAAAATATATTATTATATATATATATTTTTTACATATATTTTTTTATATATATTTTTTTGTATATATTTTTTATATATATTTTTTTTTATATATTTTTTTATATATTTTATATATATATATTTTTTAATATATATTTTTATATATAATTTTTTTATATGTATTTTTTAATATATTCTTTATTATATTATTTTTAGAGCAAGCATTTTTTTTATGGTCGAATAACAAAATTTCGTTAAAATTCCATAAAAATCGAATTGATATTTCACTTGTTGTAGATAAAGTCAAATTACTTCCTAGTGAAACTAGAACTTTATTTCCAGTTTGAACGCAGAGGCTTGGATAGAATTACATTAGACGAAGTATAGCCATCTGGGACTCAAGTGTTGGCGGCGAACATGACAACAATTTTTCCATTCCAGAAAGTAGCTCAAACTCTTTATTATTTTTACATTAAAAAACTATAGCTCTCTATGCATCCGGATCTATCTGGTAATCATAAATATGAGAATAGTTTCGTTTAAGCTCGTTTCTTGAAAGGGTATATTGGCTCATATAATAAATGTGTTTTTGAAGTGTTTAAGCTTCAAAGAGTTATGAGTTATGGCAATGTTTTAAAGGAGTTTAGGTTGGGTATGCCATGTATAAGTTTGCTTTCTTCTCAATATATATCTTTATATGTTCCAAAAGTGAACTAAAAGCATAAGTGTGCCACTTATCGTTTAACTTAACCTGCATCTACAAAAGAAAAATTAACTTAAAAATATTTAAAAAATAAGCCGAATACATTCAAGTGGCGCACTCCTGACTGTAGCTTGATCCTGGCTCGTTTAACAACATTTGCCATACTTTAGGCAGTATATCAGAGACAGCAAGTACAGGGTATCTGTAATTCCATCGTTACAAGCTTAGGAGATATGTTTTCTGTTTCATTCTGTGCATCGGGCCATAATCGCAAAATGGAAGTTGTCGCCTGATTGTCGTGAATTAAGGCGACAAGTGCTGCAATTGTTGACCCGCTTTTATAGGCTTTGTTTCTCGATTTTTCCTTTCGGTTTGCTCGATTTTCAATAACTGCTGTTGGCCCTTACAGCGAATCAATAAAAATAACTGATTGCAGTTAAAGAACAATTGCACGCAGCCAATTGGGAGAGTATGAAAAGGCGAACTCACTTTACGAAACATTTCTGATTGAAGACAAAGTCTGCGAGGCACTCAATCAGAGATAATATTTTGGATATAGGCAGTCAATGCTCAACTCGGACTAAGCGCGTTAAGTGAAACCTATTGACTGCCTTAAGCAAACCGTGACCTTTTCAACATTAATCAATGGCATTTCGCCATTTGTTAATTAAGCAAGTGAAGCACTGCAGACCTTGGCCCCAATTGAAAGTGAAAAGAGGAAATCAAAGAACAGCCAACAGACAGCTCGAACCCAAGCACCATACCCAAGTCCAAACCTGAAAAACACCCCATAGCAGACACAGCCTACATCCAACCCAAAACTACCCAAAACTGAACTACATTTTGCAGTAAATAAAGTACACAAACATTTAGCTTGCGTTGTTGTTGTTGTTGTTGCTCGCCCTTAGGGCCAGCACGTTGTCTGCCAGGTAAAAATAAAAAACAGCTAAGTGGGGACTGCACGACTAGTCTATACCCTGAACAGCTAGATTGCTTGGCGTAGACTGCTTTCCATATACATAGATAGACAGAACTACATAGCAGGCATAAAGAAGGAGCTATATAGGAGAGCTATAGGAGAAGGAGCTATATATGTAGGGATTCTTAACTTTCAGCAATTTCTCATTTTCATTTTCATTTTGGCCTAAAGCTTAGCATAGTTTAATCAGATTTTTAGCACACTAAAAAGGTCTTATATATGAATCTGCAGTTACGCTGAAATAATTAAGGTTTTGTTATCGATTTTAAGTTGAATATGGAACAAGTTATCGATAAACGAAGTTGAGCTGAAGCTATAGACTTAGATCTTATAGATCTCTAGATGGGCGCAGGCAGATAAACAATTTGCTGGACAGGAAGAACAGCTTCAGATTCAGACTCAAGAATAAAAAAAATTTGAGTCTCAGCCACGCCTTCTCCATAGCCCATACACCCTGTTAGCACATTCGCACAGCTTGCAGGGTATAGCAATTGTGAGTTCTAAGGGTGGGGCACACATGGGCTCTGTTGCATGCCACATTCAGCTAGTCCATATACATATGTACATGGATCCAGCGTATATATAGTATATATAGGTAGCTTCGGCAAATGGCTGAGCAGCTGTTTCTGTTGATTTCTGCAGCGGAGGCGCGCAATTTGCAGAGCGTGCCAAAACAATGGCAGCAAACTATAAAATAGAATGGAAAACGCTCGGGCGATGACGTTCGCAACGTTGGACTCTTAGAGATTGGGTTTGGTTTGTCAAATTGGGTGTGGCATGGTGGCGTGGTGGCATAAAGGGGGCTTGACCGCTGGCCACTATTGATGGGGCGTCTGCGTCACGGACGGCGTCTGTGTTTACTGAACACGCAATTGAAATAATTGATCCAGTTAACAAAATTGCATAAAAATTCAATAAAAAGGCAGCCACAACAACAGCGGAGACTCGGAACGGAACGAATTGAAACCTGATCGCAGACCCATTTATCGAGTTTATTTACATACACATACATACGTGCATACACAAGTATGCAAAAGGGTCGAAAATTCATTAGAAATCTGTAGAGTGAATGATGGAACACAAGAAATACCTAAAACTGAAAAGTTTATCCAACTGAAGAATCGAAAGAAACTATAATTTGTGGACTGAAGTTAAAACTTGATTAAGCAAAGCGTGGGCTTATCTAGAGCTCTGGCTGACAGTGGTTGACTGAGAAGCAGAACTAACTTATGCAAAGTAAATGTTAGATGATTGATTGATTGATTGAATAAGTAGTAAACTCTGCAGGCTTGAGCTAATGTAGGTTATAGAGAAATATTTCACATGTAATTATGGAATATTCATTAATTGATTGATTGATTGATAGATTTATTGAGCGCTTGTTTGACTGATGGATTGAATAACTAATCAGATATAATTAACTCATTTAAAATAGATGTGTGCTAGATTTATGGAGTACTTCAACGACTAATGTAAAATATAGATTGCATGATTGATTGACTGATTGATTGACTTTAATAAAATAAGCAGCATGTTTTTATTTATTTAAAGTAAGTGCAAGCTGTAATGCAGTCATGGCATATTTCAATGTTTGATTGATTGATTGATTGATTGATTGATTGATTGATTGACTGTTTGATAGAGTTATTAGCTTAAAAGCAATAATTTCTTATGTAAATTTAGTGAATAATAGCTTTGTGGAATATTTGACAAATATCTTTGGAAGGTTGCTTGATTGACTGACTGACTGATTGACTGGCAAAGTAAAAAACTTAAGAGCACTAATTTACTTACATATATGAAGCAAGTGCAAGTGGTGAGATAGAGTTTTGAATAAGCTATGATTGATTGCATGATTAACTGATTGACTGATTGCTTGATTGACCAATTGATTGATTGATGTTAATTGGGTTTATATTGGATTCAGGGAATATTCTACTGAAAGAGGGGAAAATTGCACCTGAAGCTGTGTAAAAAATTAATTATATAAAATTATTTTAAATAATATAAGAAAATGTTTAAAAAAATAAACAAAAAAAATAATTATATTATTTAAAATGAATAATTATATAGAAACCCTTGAGCAGGGTATAATTCGTTGCCAATTTGATCAGTTAGTCAAGTTATATAATATGTTTGCGTTTCAGAATGTTTGCTGATAAGAGTCATCCATATCGATATCATGCATGGAGTGCCGAATGGACTCCGGAGCAGAGCAGCGCTGAGCAGCTGCGTCATCGTCGTCGACCTCGAGCTGTATTGTTATAATTTGAGTGTGTTTTGTGCTGTTAACAGTGGCTGCCATATGATGGAGCTCCGTTGATGTTTTCGATGTCGCTGCTCAATTAAAAATGATTGTTTATTGCATTTGCCACTAGAGCAGACGACACAGATGACACAAAATATGCGGGTAACGCA